AGCCTTAACAGCAGCTTTGCTGGCATCAAATGTACACAGCACTAAATTAGGTTCTGTTTTCCTGCCAGGAAGAATGAGAAGGCAGCATGATATATAAATATAAGACACTTTCTTACTAAAAGCTTCTCTGGGAAGCACTACTTTTACTAATGTCAGAGGGGTATGAATGTGGTGCTCCAGAAGTCTTGCTCTGAGGCTTCCTTTTCTGTCCTGGTGCAGACTGTGGTCCTGATGAATGACTTAGCAACTGTACTGGATGCTCAGGGGCACTATGATGAGGCATACTCCTATGTTAAGAGGGCAGCTGAGCTGGCAAAGGAGACCCAACACCCTGAGGAGCACATGGTGCTGAATAACCTGGCAGCGATTCTGATGCACAAAGGTAAATAAATATCCAGCCTATGTCACTGCGCTTGTGCTGACTGCAGATACCTGTATTGCAGGACTGAACTACAGCATTATTTTTGTTACTATTTTTAGTTCAAGCAGTAGGTCTGCTGATTTTGTGTAGGCAACCTGTGTTGTTTTCCAATTGAATTCAGCTGCTGAAGGATCCTGTCCAAGATAAATGCAGTACTGGCACATCTGACTCAAAAGGTTGCCAGGGAATCTAATTTCCCTAGTCCTGTGTCTACAGTAACTGGTTCCAAAGGGACTGAAGACATGCTTGAGGCTTGTTTCAATATCTTAATGCTGAAACAGCACCTTGTCCTGTCATCATTGCTGCTGTTCAGCTCTTTTAGTTGGCACCCTATGCTGGATGTTTTCTGGACCTCCCTAGTGCTTGAAGTGTTCCAAGAAGTCCTTTGCCTGTCCTCTGCACCTGGTCAGCTTCAGGAAGGGACTCTGAAAATGGGCGGTGTAATTGACGAGCCATGCCACTTTTTCCTCTTGCTACAGAAGACTTTCTGCAAGCAAAAGAAGTGTACAAAGAAGCTCTCAAGCAGGCACAAGAGAAAGGAGATGTTGCTTCTGTCCAGCATATCCAGGAAGAACTAGCTGAGCTGGCCAAGAGGAGAAAGGGCTCCAAATAAGTTTGGCCACAGAGTCCAACCTTGAAGTGGCTGACAGCAGCAAGGGTTGGTCAGTACAAGCAGCCTGGGACCAGTTTGGTGCAATTCTCCAGGGGAACAGCGTGAGGAGTTTAAGGACTGCTTAACAAGAAGGGCTGCTATTGCCTAACAACTTAGCCCAAAATAAAGTTGTGAAATCTTAACTATGTGAATTTGTGGTGTAGTCTGTGGTTGGAGGGACCTACTGTGCTAGTGATTTAACTTTGTCTTGACTGAACTGCAAGTATTAATACCAGGCTAGTCCTTTGCTACTCCTGACTGTTCAGAAATACCCAGTTTCAAAACATGGCTGTATTAAAGCTACGTCATGAAAAAGAGAACAGGCAGGAATTGTCTTGCTTTTTCCCTGCTGGCTAGCACGTATGTTTGTCAGAGCTGCAGCTCAGTATCAACTTCAATAAAGCATTTCCCAGGCTATACCTGTACCACGACAGAGCTGTAGCTCCATGTCCTTTTCAAACAAGTTGTCTGAAGATCAAGTGTTTTTCTTCAAAGCATTTAGCATGCAAAGATAGAATGCGCCCTCTTAGGGGAGGGGTGAGATTGTTACCAAAACAGAAGTAAACACTCAGCTACCTTACCCCAGTCAAGAGCACACCGAGTGCCAAAGCTGTCCTCCTCTCTTGAACAGGTCAGTGCTGGAATGCTGAGGCTTGCTGTTGGAAAAGATGGTACCTACAAACCATCAGGTTTGTAATGTACATGCCTTCATGTGAATTAAGTATGAGCAGCCTGCTTATACAACAGAATTTTTCAGTTCTGCCCTGCAGGGAAGCCTAACGTTAAAGGCAAAGGAGAATTAAACCAGAAGTTACCAAATCTGTGTTTAGCTAGGAGAGCAGAACTAATTCTGTCACTAACCAAACATTATTTTAACCTCTCATTCGTAAGAACTTCAGCTGGTTGGTACAACCCTTAATGTTAATTGCATCTTTAGTTTACTTACAGTAGCATTGGTGGCTTCAGCTCTGCTTAACTTCGAGCTAAGAGAAGGAAGGCAGGTTTTCTAGAGTAGATGTTCAGTGAAGCTGGAAAAACTTAAGTCACATATACAGCTTTGTTCTCAGCAAGCTAGGAAGTAAAATCATGGCTGTTACAGGCACGCTTGTACTAAAAGAAAGGCTCTAACACCTTAGAGCCAATTTTCTTTAAAGTTTTGAGTTTTAAGTGGCAGACCTTGGGCACTCCAGCAGTGTTAACTGGGAACCCTGCAGCACCCACTAAGGGAAGCGTTTTGCATGTTCTCCTGAACATGGCCTGATGCTGCAAAACAAGAGGGAGACACAAGAAAAGCAAATGGAGAACTGATCCCCTTTATTGATTGGTCTGAATCCAGAAGTCACTGTCTACTGAAGACATTGTGTGGGAAAAAAAAAAAAAGTTGAGTTTTATGATGCATGGGTTTTTCAAGTCTTAAATGATTTCATATCAGAATCACGAAACATATCAAGATGAAAGCATTGTGAAAGCGCTGTTAGAAATCAGTTAAAAATTTGTAGTAAACTACACTTTGTAAACATGACTTACAAACACCTTCCTGTTTGAAACAGGTCAGATGTAATTCCATACTTGAAGATCCCTGGAATTGTGGTAAACCCTAACTTAGGCTCTGGAGAAGTTTTTACACTGGAGAAGTTAGAACTCAGGTAACAAACGAAAAAGCAGCAACATTTTATGTGCAAATGCCACTCAAGCTGTATCTTAAGAGAAAGTGACTATCCTACTTGGGGTATCTTGCTGCTGCAGCAGCAATAACATGAAGCTTTGCAATGAACATGCTCTACTTACTGTACAGTTAGAAAGACATTTTTGTCTGTACATGCCTCTTTTCACGTTGTATTTGTTACGCTAAGAAAGTGAGAACAAGTCAGATTCAGAATGGAACTTAACTCTCCACTGCAAATTTAAATCTACAAAAAGGGCAGATCAACTTGTTTTCCAGTACATGTTGCTGTGGGAACAAAAAAAGTTAAAATAAGAGCACAGGTCTACAAACAGGATGAAAAACTCAGTACTTCAAGCCAGAAGGGTAAAGGATGGGAAGGTGGGAAAAATCTTTCTCAGTGAAAGACTGCAAGGAGGTTTAAGACTGCCAACTGAACTACCCTGATGCAGTATTAAAAAAAAAAAAAGTAGCAAAATATTTCTGTATTTGCAACACAGTGTCAAGTTTCCAAGTGAGTTCCTTTGGATTTTTTTCTTTCCCACACTTGGGGCAGAAACACTTTCCTCTAAAGCACTCAAAGGAAATTTGCTATTGATAAATAGTTCTGCACTTCTTCCTGTTTGTAACTGGACCGTTACAGTCCTTCTGTAAGATGGAGAGCTTACATGGCGTAAGGTTACACAGCTACATTACACCTTCCATGCAACACATCGCAAATACAGCGTTAAATTAAAAATATTTTGACTGGAAAATAACTTCAAGGCAAAGACTGTTCATCAACGAGATTCAAAAGCAGTTTGGAATCTGACAGACCATGCCACCCCCTGACTCAGTGCTATCTGTAAATCAGTCCTTCTACCCCAGAAGATTTAAGTTCACTTCCTGAGGTCAGTGCAGCAAAAATAAGATGCTCTTGAAGACGGATGTCAGGACACCCTGTGATATCACTAACCAGATGTATGTATACATGAGCTACAAGCATATCAGAGCAGGCATTGATAGATGAATGATTAAGGAGACTCTCCTAGTACCATTTACAATTTAAAAAGAAAAAAAAAAAAAAATCACCCTAACAAGTATTGCACACTTTAGGAGTTAAGCCAAGCCTCTGTAAGGACTTCCACCAAAAGCTTGCTTATAGGGCTAGGGATTGGATGGGGATGCAGACTTTAAAATAATTATTACATAAAGAATTTAAAATCAGACTGGAGGAAGGTAAAAATCACAGTACCTATTTCAAACTGGTTGTAACAGAAGCCAAGTAGTTGACTCATGTGTTGCTCAGTTATTCTATAAAAGCGTTTTGTTTTATTTAAACTTGGGATGTAGAGGTTTTGCTGCTTAAAGGATCGATCAGCCCACCCAGAGCTTCTGTTCAGATAAGCCATTTGCTGTGGTTAAATATGACAGTAAAATTTAGTAGCCCATTTTGTCTGCACACAATGCAGAAACAGAAAACACTAAGATAGGCTTTTGGGGCACAGTTAAAATTCCCAGTGTGCATAACAGTGAGGTATGCCTCAGAAGCTGTTTGGTTTTTTTTTTTTTGTTATCCTTTTAAAAATGAACCATAACATACCCATGCAATAATATTTCTGCAGTGCTGCTAAATAAAACCAACTGCACCAAAAATTTACAATGTGGCAGAATTTAAAATTCAAAGAAATATATCATCTTATTCCAGCGAACCGGACTATGTTAATGTACAGAATTCATTAAGGGGTCAGTCTTAAAAATCAACATTTTCACAAGAGCTTGAACACCACTGAGAAAGTGTGTCTAGGGAAAAAAAATTATATAAAAGCACAATGCCTGCAAGAAGTGGCACGGCATGAAACGGGCAATGATGCTAGGCTGGTTGGGAGGCTAGGGTTATGGTTAGGCTAGGGTGGTAGGGAGGCTAGGGTTATGAAGAGTACTCTACACTGGAGAAATGCTTAAAAAAAATTACAAAATGACCCCCAAAGTTTAGGCAATGATTTGAACATAAGTACACCAGATACTATAGCAAGGGAAAAAACACTGCAAAAAGTACTCTCTATTTACAGAAGAATGATTTAAAGACATTATGGTTTTCTTTACAAATAGATGTAGAACAGGAATAGTCCACATTTTTAAAAACTCTTTACATATTTATCTTTAGTAAGTCAACCTTCTCGATAACGATCCTCCAACACATGGCTTGTGCAGAAGGCATTTAACGGACTCTCCACCAATTCTTCATTGTGTGGCCCTTGCTCTCTTGGAAAGTCTCTATGGGCACAAGTCAAAAATAGATTTCTTTTTTTGACCCGCAAATTAAAAAAAAAAAAATAAATCTGCATAGTTCAGTCATCACTGTCAGACAGAGTCTCATATTGTGCTGAAAGCAGTGGTGCAGGCTCTCGCTCCCATATCCTGTTCTGTTGGTGAGTGGTTGCTTGGCTCATGGACGGCGGGGCACACGCGATCGATGTTGGCGGTGTACTGCTGAGCATCCTCATCGTCAACGGGTTGTAAGGAAACTGTGTCGAACCTGAATCAAAGAGAGTTTCCCCATGTCAAAAACATGAGCCGTTCTAAGAGATCTGTGTCTGAAAGACAGCCAGGGTTTGGTTGTGACAACTAGCAGAAAATCTGTTTCGGAAAGTCCTCGTATACTGTAACGCAGATCTAGATGCTGTAATCTTTTGACCAATATACCAGTGTTACAACAGGTCTACTTCTGACCCTTCCACACACATCACATCTGGTAAATTAACTTCGAAAGAAACACATTTCTCACCTGTTGATGAAGGCCTGTCTTCCCAGGCCCACACTGGAGTCTGTCTGTGGTAGTCCCCTTCTGAATGTACAGATGAGACCGAAGAAGGTCTTTCGGTTCCCAAGTATCCTTGTCCAGGAATAGGCGACTTGGACTTCCTACTGTTTGACTTGCCAATTAGTTTCTGCTTGTTGACTCCCCCTCCTGGAAACAGAAGGGACAGATTTTACAAAAGTGTTACACTGCATTTTAGCCTCTCTCTGTTGGTTTCTATAAATCACCACATAGCAGCAAACAGGAGTTTCACACTGGTACCTTCTGGCATGCTGTTTTACTACAATTAGTGACCGTACAGACTAGTCTTCTAACACACTACTGCTAGAAAATCCCTGTTCTTCTCATAACAGTTACCTTTCCCTTTTTAGGAAGGGAGATGTTTTCAGTTCAAGCTGGTTCCCATGTGTTCTTTATAGGTGATGTACTATACATCCATTTTCATCAACCCACTGAGAAGCTTCAGGTACCTACTACACCCTGTTATCTCTTCCCCATTTCATCAGTGTTGTCATTCTCCAGGAAATACGAGCTAATGCTCCTGAAGTCACCTGCACCATTACAAAAGCCAGAACCCCTAGAGGGAACGGAAACACCTTTCCAGAGGAAAGACAGTGATTTTCAGTGACATCGAATTTAATAAACCCCTTAATTTATTTTTTTCTTTAAGACCACGAAATATTTAGGAGTTGCACTACCTCACCTGAATTTGGTGATGGATTAGCTTCTTCCCTACGTGTCTCATTACTTGCTGCTACTGCAGCAGCGGAACTGCCAGCTGCTACCGCAATGGATTGTGCCATTACAACTCCATGCTCTTCACTCTTGTCGTCAAAGTTTCCCATCAATGCTTTCCTAATAATGTCTTCCAGACCCAGGTTACTGGCAGGATCTGCAAAGGAATGACCCCTAGAACTGACTGCACCTGGGAGATAAAAGAAAACATACAAGGAAAGGTGGGAGGGGAGGCAAAAAATGTATCTCAGAGAAATTACAAAGGGATACGGGAAAAGATTTTAGAGGAGAGGCAGAAAGGTGGGAAAAAAAACCCCAAAGAGAAGATTTTTTTAAAATGCAAAGCCACATGCTCCAAAGCAGCTCACAATGGCTACAAGTTAGACATGCCAGCCAATAGCGAAGAGCTACGTCAGTGGCGTCACTAAATGTCAGACTGTTTGCAAGAGGGTAGATTTTACTTTGGTTTTTTTTTGTTTTTTTTTTTTTTTTTAATAGCAAAGGAAGCTGAGCATGCTGATTGTGATAGCATATTAAGTAAAATCTGCGGCTATTATTCAGTTGTAAGAGAAGAGACCCGAAGAATACTTCTCTCATCAATGATAATATATTAACTTGTCTTATGAAGTGTGATACGTGGCAAATATTTATTCCAAAAGCTTCTGTTCCACCTAAATTAATGGAGACCAGTACTTTCTTCATTTAAAAGACAGAAGGACTGTGCCAGAAGGGGCAGCAACTGGCCAAAATCATGTAAAGTCAATCGGTGGTAAAACTCCAGATTCAGATTTGGCAGTTCTTATCTTAGCAGTTAAATTTACATTTTCATCATCTTCCTCATTTACTGGACTCCCCAAAGCATATAAATGGAAGATACCACATTAGTTTATTTTTTCTGAAGCATATATTGTTTCTTTTACTGAAAATCTTACCTGAGGTAGTGACTGCTGGCAAATTGAATATTTCAGTCCCTGGCTGAGCAGTTGCTGCAATTAAAGCACAACATTCAATTGAGTTTTCCAGTACTGATCATCACTACAAGTGATCACTACTTGTCCTAATGCAGAAGGTGTAATTACTTTGAACTATTTTCAATGTTCTTTTTTCTCTTTCTCAGTCTTCTAAGATCAATGTACATCTATGTCTTGTCAGAAAATGATCTACACCAGGGTAAAAGCATCTTATACAGTCACGGCTAGCCTTCTTTTAAAGGTGTTTCCTTCAGGAAGCAGACTGACTTTTTGAGTTTCACAATCTATGTACTTTAAAATGCAAAGCTGCACTTGATTTGCTAAATAACATATTTTAACATATGAACCTTAAAGGCTGAGTATTTGTATGCATTAAAAAAATGAATGACAACAACTTTGAATGGCTAAACATCCCCTCTCCCAACACTACCTATATTATATCCAATTTGAGAATAAAGAATTTCAACCATAACGCTGAGTTCAATATATAAATGAAAATACTATTGGCAGCACTGGAAAGCGTGTTTGTATGCCAAGCATGCACATGAGATTTTCAACAGAGCAAAATCTATCAAGCACACAATGGGGAACCAATAAAAAGAACACAACTCTTACTGACACAGCCTTGTTTCTTAGAAGGAGAGAAATTTGTTGTTCATGCAAGAGCACTCACTTTCAAATAAACACTTTCTATTAAGTATTGAGTTCACAAGCAGCTTAAACTCTTACTACTGATAACTTTGATACAAAGTTTAAGGTTTCTAAGAGAAAAACTATGTGTAATAGTTAATGTTGATACGAAGCAAAGTACAGACACAAAGTTAACCAGAATAATGTCAGGTTTCAACAATTAATCAATTATGCATTTCTTCTGTAGTTTTCAGAAAGCATTTCCATCTCTCCAATTAAGCATTAAAAAGCTTAAATGAGACAGCCCCACATACCCCAGCATTAAAAAAAAAGAAAAGAAAAAAAAGGAAAAAACCTAACAATCTTCCAGTTCTTTGGTCATAAGTTATATATTCATACATTTATATTTATTCCTATGTTATTTGAAACATATTTAGGTTAGGACATCTGTGGATGGCAATCACATAAAGCTTAAGTTGGAAAAATTCAGTGAAAAGACAAGTCCTGCATACCCATGTCAGAGTCACCTCCACCAGATGAGTTCAGCTTTCGAAATATCTCCTGTTTCTTAGATTTTACCATTGGTGAAGTGTTCTCGAGTTTGGTGAAAAACGAAGGCAGGTAGCTTATACTACCTGGAGAACGAGAGTCAGTCCTGCCAAGACCAACATGTGTCAAAGAGAGAGAACATTTTTCAAGATGTACATTTAAATCTTTCCAAAAGCAGTCAGGCAGAAACCACCAACATTCATATGAGCTTTAAGACTCTTTCCTCAGCCTGTTTTTTGGGAACTAGACATGTCTAATGACTCTCCAAGAACATCTGCTTTATCCAGATAACAGCGTCTAAGATTCTACAGCTCACAGAAAAAGTGACCGTGTCATTGTCTGTGCTGGAGAGAGGTACAGAGATGATACTCTTACAAATTATCCCAGTGGTGCCCACTTCGGCCTTGCAACCTGCACGCCGGCTGAAGCTTGCGCTGCAAATCAGCAGGTGACAAAATGTTTAAGCTAGAAGCCCAAATACCCATCCTAGCTGCTCCTCCTATTTACAATCTTCTCGCTCTTGTCCCCAGTATGCCACTAAGAAGGATGTGGGTGTTTTTTTTTTTTTAAGTCTGCTTAGCTATCCTGTCACACATGGTCCAAGCAAACAAGCTCTTTCAAGCATTCTTAGAAACCAGGTAAAATAACCTTATGGACTGGAACCTGGCTCAAGAGCTGCCAGTTAGCCATCCTTGCTCTACGGCACAAACTCAGACTGAGATCCATGTTGTGTATTTCATGCCCCTTACCAATTTTACATTCACAGTAGCTGACACACTTTCTGCACATAATTTCTGTTACATCAGCGTAAAAAAATTGCTGAAGTAAATGTCAAACTGACAAGGGGTGTGTTTTATCTTCAGATCTTAAAATATGCAAACTTCAGGCTGTTTATAAACATGTTAAAAGCAGCAGTATGCCAATTACAGAATTTTAATTAAAAAAATAAACTAAAGCATGAAGAAATTCAGGTGAAAAATCTAAGCTAATACCAGGGTCATGAACAACTTGCACTTTTTTCAAAACTGGATAAAAATGACCAACTGTGTGTTCGCTGTGGTGCTTAGAATACTTGAGTTTGTTCAAGCAGCAGCAATCTGGGAAATCAGCTTTAATTTAAAAAAAACAAACAAACAACGAACAAAACCCCACCTCATACTTATATTAAAAAAATCACCTAAAAATAAAGTAAAAAAGACAAAGACTTTAGGTTTCCTTAAAATTCTAAAAAGTGGAATCTTCCCTGCCATGTTCCTGAAAATCACTTAGCACATAGCTAACATCCATCATGGACTGCAACACCCCTGCCAGTAGTGGCAGAGTGGAGGGGGAAAAAAAAACAAGAAAAAAAGAATCCATTTCACCAGCAGGAGCCTTAAATGGTGAGCACATTGGCTGCTACTCCTTCTTTAGCAGGCGGCAGAGCACGACAGAAGCATCCATTCCAACGTGCATCTGCCAGAAGTTTGAAGACACCAGCACTAATACAGTCTGGCAGGGATCCCATGGAGTTTTTATGTTGCAGATCTGGCAGACTGACAATTAGACCTGGGAAACAGGGATGCCCGATGCATGGACCTCCTGACACCCCACCTTCACACCTGGAAAATAAGCTCCTTAGCTTAGTGATATTTCATGTGATAAGCTGCTCTAGAATCATGAGTGTTGGAAGCCTGGGTTCCTCCACACTTCACCAGGACAGTATCCAGGAAGCCAATCAGGCAGGAGAAGCCTGAATTATTTAATAAAAGTTGTAGAAAACGGACCTTTCCCAAAAATCATTTCAGTTTTATAGAACTGGCACCTACAAGGAGTTTTGTTACAGTGTTTTCTATCATTTATGAGCAGAACGCACTGCTTGCACCAAGAAACTTCTGACAGAACACGTACAGGTGATGTTTCACTCAGGCTTCCCAAAGCATCTCCCAAGTAGCAAGTTCTGAATGCTGGTGCAAAGGGATCCACAGTGATTAACAACTTGCCTGTTGTACCAGAGGCAGATTGCTTAAACCGATAAAGGTACTGGTTGCAGCAAAAAGATCCAGAATAATGTTTTTAAAATTCAGTTTTACACATACCTCTGTTCAGTAGGCTCAGCTCTTTGGGAAAGCAAAAGAACATTTTCCTGTTTCTCATGTACAACCGGGATCTGAGGTGGCGAGATTGGCTCATAGGGCTCTGAAGAGACATGACTCCTCTCTGGAGATTTTCCAGGTCTACATCCATAATTCAGAGACAGATAAGTACTCTTAATGCATGTCAAGCAGTGGTTAAGACATGTAATGGCATTCCAGTTGTTACATAACTACTTATGTCCAGTTTTCTATGTTACACGCTTTAGTATGCTTAGTGATCTCAAAAAGATGACTTTGAATTGTCCATAATGACTCTGATGAGTTCTAAGTAATTAAACACATTCACTCCTCTACAGACTGGAAATTAAACATAAGAAGTCAAATATCAGCTGTGTTATGGAGCCCAAGCAATTGTCAAAAATCATATAAGACAGATGTTGCCTACAAAAAGACCAAAAGATACCTCTACTTCTCATCTACGGCAAGATTACTGGTGCCATTTTGAATGAATATCCTATTTGGGCATTAATTAAATTTGCAGTTAAACTGAACACATGCATTACCTTCCCCTGGACTTGTCAGACAGATTTTCAGGTGACACTCTAGCACCTGGCCGCTGATGGTGGACAGACTGCGACTGCGACTCAGGGCTGTAGCGATTTGATGTCTTTGCCCGGGTAGAAACAGGTGTTGGAGCAGGGGTGGAATTCTGGAATGTAGTGGTGGGAGGCTGCAAAGAAGCCTGAGAAGCTGCTTGGTTTCTAGCAAAGTCCTGTGTAATAATTTGCTGGTTGTGGCCAAAAAGATAGAAGAGAGATCTTGGTCAGACATTGGCCAGAGCACACGTATTCATGAACTAGATGAATATGAGACCAATTGCAACAAATGAGATGATTATTAAGTTCAGACACGTTATTGTATAATACCTGCAAGTAAAACTAATAATTACAGAATTGGTATTATGTTCCGAAACATGTGTTTTCAACATCAAAATAGAAACTTTTTACATTTGAAAAGATGCATGCAAATAAACCTACACAGATGTGATCAGCAAGGGTAATAAGTCGATGGGTCCTGGGCACATGTGCCATCCCTTCTGCTTGGGAAGCGGGAGGTGGAGGTTGTTGGGGTGAAGGGGGTTCCTGTTGTGTCCTGTAGCGGTGAATCGACCCCTCATATTGCCTGTTTGGGTCATCTAGTTGAAGAAGAAAAGGTCAGTCTGTTAAGATAGTATTACTGAAGCTTCAAGGTTTGAAAGTTCTGTGCTTACAAATCTGAAAGACGAGGTGTTTCTGCATTAGATTTTAGGAATCCTGTGTGATAACCACCTTTTCCCCCCTCCATTATAGGCCTTATAATTTAGAATAGATAAATAAAGCTTCATTCCACAATGCCAGGGAATTTCAGCTCATTTATCACCTGCAAGCTGTACTGGAATAGCTTGATCTTTACTAGTAGGTAAAAAATCATTGGTGTTGACACTAATATGCAGTTGTTTTAAAGAATATATTGAAAATAAATTTTTTATTAAATCAGCTACATTGTAATGTAAAGAAGCTCTTGTTTAATGCCAAGTGTCCATTCCAACACATTTGCTCTAGTTTTTCCATAGATCACTGCAACAACATACTTTCAGCAGAAGTTTCTGAAAGTTAAGAACGTGGTAAGCAGTCACTTAAAGACTCCCGAGATATTTTATCTTTATTATGAGTTCATGGAGCTGGTAAACATAAACAAGATACCTGTAAGAATATTTGCATATGCAGATAAACTTACTCTCTGCCTGGCTTGGTTTGGGTGTCTCTTGTTGATAGGGCTGTAGCTTTTCTTGAGTAGGTACAGGTGAATTTGCAGGGCTGATCACCTCAATGGCATCTCCAGAAGCTTCATACCGGTGGGACGATACTGAATATCAAGCAAAGGTTGTGGAATAAGATGTAAGTATCACAGAAGATTTTTGTTGCCTATACATAGCAACACTAGTGCTTCCATTAACACCAGTGAAATGAAAGTCAAAATACTATCTTTTTCTCATGATAACTATGATGAAACAATTATTTCCATAAAGCAGTATTCCAACATAAACAAAGTAATTTTACGTTTCCTGACTTCTGATAATGTTAGTTTTATTATCCTGCATTTCATGTTGTAGCATACAATCCGAATGAAGCAAACAACTCTGATTTTTCAAGAATCTTGAGTCACTATATGCAAAAACTGTATTTGCTTATTAGGTGTCTCTACTGCGCAGAGCTGAATATTTTATCGTTAAATATCAGAATCATTTCACAGGTTATTTTCTCCCTAAAAGGCTAAGACAGACAGCAAAGAAGTAGATAGTTACTAAGATACGTACAACTACTGGAAGAATCTGAACTTTGAGAGCCCCTATCTCGTGCATCCTTGTCTGAAGCAATCTGCCGAGTGATGATCACATCTATGAAGTTAGCAGCAGTAATTGTGGTCTTTCCTCGAGTTCTCAGCTCTTCCTCGTACCTGGATTTAGGAGGAGGTCCTTTCTCTTTACCAGCCTCTGAATAGACTACTGATGAAGACTGTCCCTGGGACTTGCCACCAGAGAAATTTGCAGACGTATAGGGGCACTGGACAGGCCTCTTTTCTACCTCCAGTGTCTTCTGTTCCATCTGCTGCTGTTCAGTAACCACAGCTGACCGGCGTCCCATATTCTCTTCTATTCTGGTTCCTTCGTGCTTGTTCTCTTTTGCTTTGGCAACTTCCATCTGAGGAGCAGAGGCGGCAGCATCTACTAGTGCTGCAAGGGCATCAGCAGCAGTATTGTAACGGGAAGCTGGCAACCCTTGAGTAATAGAGGGAGCTCCGGGGGTGAGCTGCCTGTTGGCAAACATAGAATATTCTGAATTACATCACTTGGAAAAAAAAAAAAAAAGAAACTAGAGCCATACCATGTGCACAACGAAGCAAAGCTATTGTGACGCTGCTTTCTATCCAAACTGGACTGGGTGAGCATGCATTGGATCATTTCCAATAAATTCAAGAGCAATTAGATAGTGGTTATTCTCATCTTTTAATATTTTCCTCGGCTAAATGCATCTTTTAATAAGCTCAAATAATACAACGGGTATCTCTGCAACAGTAACTTAAGAAACATACATGATACGTAGCTGAGCAGCAGGATCCAAAGGTGTGATCACACTTGTCCCATTGGTTCCTTGAAAAATACTAGGCCTTTGCTGCAGGATGTTTTCCTGGCTTCTAACTGAAGGGGACGGGGACCGAACATATCCATGACTGCCAGGCCTGCCAGGCTGCTCTGTACCTGCAGAACATTGAGTGGAGGGGAACAAAAATATATACATACATATAGAGATCATTCTTACAACAATGCAGAACTATGTATCAATGCTGTCTCCTCCTCATCCTTTCCCAATTGTCTTCACCACTCTAGGTACAACTATATGTATTGAAGGTTTAAATGGCAGCATTCTGTTTACAATGCTCTGAATGACACGCAAGTTGTGCTAGCAATGACTGACGGGGATTCACACCATTCCCGAGGCACTACATTGCTGTGACAGAAAGATCAAGAAGCCTAGAACTTGCTGAAGTTGCAAGTATGATCAGAACTGCTAGGTAATAGGAACTTGCCTTAAGCACAAACTTAAACCAAACAATACCGTGTAACATGTTGTTAATAAGCTGTGCGTTGCCAACAGTGGACACAGAAAACGAGCAGTTACAGCCTACAAGACAACAGATCCCAGTGCAGCAGTGTGCACTCACCTGGTCGAAGATAAAGCTCAGCAGGGACTGAAGCGATTCTCTCCCTCTCTCGTTCCCGTTCTCTCTCCCGCTCTCGCTCACGTTCCCTCTCCCTTTCCCGTTCTTTCTCCCTCTCCCTTTCCCGTTCCCTTTCAGCATTTGCAGCTGCAGAAGCTGCCAGGTGTGTGGGGTGCCCTGGAAGGTCCACAGGATAAAATGAAGTAGCAAAGAGATACTGAAGTTAAGCATGATTTGATGTAAGCGCTTGCCAATATACTCTGCCATTCACTTACAGCAAAATTTCCCAAATACACTTTAATTCCACTCAAGTCTATCCACTTACCTAAAAACCCAAAAGCTTAACATAAAGTGGCAGTGGAAAGCTCAACTAACAGCTTTTTAGTAAAGTGGTTTCTATAGAGCTAGAAACTAGACAGCTAATAGACCCAAATTCCACCCTTCAACACAGGTAATATGAGTCAGTGAAGTCGTAATAAAGACCTGACAGAATGAGGCAAATCCTGAATTTGTCAGTGCTCCTTCAGCTGCTAATGGAACTAAAAGGGCATCATTAAGAAAACCTTCACCACCCAAGTAGGAAGTGCATGCAAAATACATCGCCCGAGAAAACATCAAACCCTGCCATCAAGGAAAGCTAAATAAAGATGGTCAATCATCTCAGTGTGCCAGATGATTGGAGACATCATCACATCGTAAGAGCTCTCACCTGGTGACAGAGAAGCAGGATTGTAAGGCCTGGGAGGGAACGTAAGCTGGGTACCAGGGATATATGTGATTCTCTCCATGGGTGGTGTGCTTGTTCCTCCAGGATGAGGCACTAAGATAGTGGGAGCCATATTGTTCAGGTCAATAATTCCTGTTAGGAGATGACACACACAAGAATGGCCATTCATGGACAGACTAACGGTCCACAGATTATATACTCTGTTAATAGATAAGAGTCAGTAGTGAATGCTTAGTGGGGAAAAAAAAAATAAAATAGAATAAGGCAAGTGCTGAACTATACTCCAGCTGGTTATATTCTCAGATCTGGCACATTTAAGAACATATTAAGTCAGAATTTCCATTTCTAGCGCTCCCTTTAATTGCCCTTCAGAAAAATAACACTTCATCATCTTCTCAACGATATCATCTATAAGCAAAATGGTATTACCTGACATCATTCACTCCTTATCCACACTTTTATATTCATAAAATGAAATGAAATGTTGGAATGCACAGGTCCCATTGGAACTCCAATATAACTTCTCCTACTGCAAAAACCAAACACTTATCTTTTCCCACCAATTAAAACACTGCAAGACCTTATAACTTATTCTCAAGATAATTAGTCCTATGAGCATAATTCCCTCACATTTGCTATCTTCCATTCTACCAATAACAGCCAAAACCAATTTAAGTGATAAATTATAACATCCAGTATCCAAGCTGGTACCTCAACTATTTCCTGTTTGTAACTCCTGGGAGAACGCCAGGTAACCCCAAGGACTCACAACTATTCTTTTATTATTTTCTTCTAAGACTTCACTCAACGTTTCAATGTGAAACAGTTCTTCAAACTCACATCCCACAAAGAAAAATCTCCATCACAGTTATCTAAAATCTCTCCACAGTGAACAGACTTGCTAAGAAGTTGCTTTCCTTTTTTGTAATGGCATTATCTTCTAAAGCATACTTCTGAGTTTTGATGATTTATCAGTTTGTACAGTGTCTTTTCCAAGATTCTTGCATTTGGTGTGTCTGAGGACGTTATAGTTCATTTGGCTTTATAAAGTGTTCCTCAATTTTTTTTGTCTTTATGGTCTCACGTTTAACTTGTCAAGGTTTCTGTTTTCTTTGTTTGATGAGTTACACTTTTGAGAGATGTCTTAGCATTTAGTAGCTCCTTCCTGCTTGTGTTAAATGTCCAGATTGATTTAGGCTTTTCCCCACCCTGCAACAGGTCACACACATTTACTAACTCTCTAACATAACATCTTTAAACAATCACCGGGTTTCCTACAAACCTTATCCTTGTAGCTGTTGCTTTTATTTTCATTTTCAAAAAGCTCTCATTTTGATATAATTCTCTCTTCTGAAGTTTGAAGATGAGTTAAATATGCTTCTGAATATCAATTTAAACTTGCATGAAACTTGAAGACAAATAAGTCTTACAGCCTTTCCTTTAACAATATTGATCACATAGTTTCCTTCACATCCACAAAAGCCAGTTAGATGTGTGACAACTCATTTGCAAATAACACATGTATACATATGCACTTGTACACATGCATACATGCAAGCATATAAATTTATAAGCAACAACAAACCAAACAAACCAATCAACCAAACCACACCACGTATCCAAAACACTTTAAAGAACATCAGAAAAACACACAGGCATACCTCTTGCTCCTGCATACGGGAGAGCTAAAGTTTGCTCCCTAGGAGATAATCCTCGTGTTACATCGGGACGTAAATTGACTTGCATCTGCTGTGAGGTAATGTAGTCATTTAGGATTGTCTGCCGTGTATTCTCCATCGCGTAAAGCTGATACTGACTTGGGTAGCCTGGGGTGGGTGAGAGCTGCCTTTGGAACAGGTAAGCAGCAGCAGCTAAGGGTGAAGGAAGGCAAAAAAAGAAGATTTAGGAAGCAGCACGGGTGATATCAAATGAAAGTTTCAGATGTTTATATAATTTCAATGAGAAGTGCTGTCAGTTCTCTCTAGCCAGTGTCAAATGAATCAAAATAGCGTTTTAATACTGATGTTTTTATGAATTCATGCACTGTATGCAGACAGAAAAAGCTAAATAATCCAGATTGGAGATATGCAGAAGAGAAGAGACGTGATTAAAAATACAAATCCTGAACTTTTTAACAGAACAGAAGCAACACGGCACCTTCTAGATGAAAGCTACAGTATTACATAACATTTTAAGAAGTTTCTTGGTTAGATAGTAAACCCCCCACTTAACTGAAATCAAACCACAACCGTGTATATATGTAACCTCTTACAAATTGTACTTGGCCATTGATAATTGCTTTTTAAAGGTACCTTTTTTGTGCATCAAAGCATACAGCATTTCTAAAACTAAAAACCACAACACAAACATATTTACCAGGATCCAGAGCCCTGTGAAATGGCATAGCAGGATCTAAATGAGGAGGGAGGTGACTCCTATAGACTTCAGGAGTTGCTCCTCTGTGATGAGGGTCAAAAGGACTGTGAGTCACTACAGGATCAACCCCTGGGACTGGGGATTTTGCTGGCACACTCTCCCTTTGTGTTGGAGTAAGTGTGTTTTTCCTTTCATGATTTGCTGGCTTCCCAGAAGATATTCCAGCTAAAGACAACAAAAAATCCAAATTAATAAAACACATATATTTCAATCAAAAATTCAGCTATATGTATACACTGGCTCCCAAGCAACATTCTAGAGGACTCTGCAATCTGATACAATAAATCACAGAGAATATTTTATATCACAAACTATCTGTGGTGAAAAATCTAAATCCTAAAACTATGATTGCTTGCACTTCACTATATTATCTTTCTCATCTAGATACTTCTATAATTCAGGAATAGCTTCTGCCCTCAAAACATTACCCTTGTAACTAACACTTTTAATGTGATCCATAATCAAATGGAAATTGAGACTGAATTGCCTTCCCATGTCCATGTTACAATACAATAGATTTTTATTTTCTTGTTTCAATTAACAGCATACAGCCTTCTAAAATTCCTTCTAGCCACCCTCCAAATTGATAGAAGCCATTAGAAGAAAAAAAAGTAGAATGGATTACAGAAACCTGTTTAAAAGTAAGTTTAAAATTAAATTATCAAGACTTCTTGTCTTACTGGACGGGAATAACATACCCTCACTAACTCTATTCATCATAGGTGAACTCCTGGACATTGGACTCTGATAGTTCACAGGTGTCCTCCGAGCATTGGTATCATCATAAATTCCAGGGCTCAGCTGTGATTTGGGAGTTTCATGAAGAGTTGACCTGAGAACAGAGGGACCAGAGCTGACTACTGACGTGTGACGGGAACGTACTGCATCCCCGGTCTTCACATCTTCATATTTTCCTCGCTCCACCACCTTCACGTTTTCTGGCACCATTTCCAGCTGAGGCATTCCACGGGGTAGCTTGCTTGGTCCAGTGATTAAAGATTTTACATTGTGTTTGATGGCAGACTGGCCAGAGTTGCTTTCATATTTTATGGGTGTGCCCTGAAAAGGAGAAGAAGATCAGGTAAGGTTATCACATTAGCACAGAAAACAACTGGATCTTAGTGACTGTTACTTGTCAGTTCTCTCACACTTGCTTGCAAGTGTGTTCCCTACAGGTGAAGTATCAGGACTTTTCTAATACGCAGAACATATTTTTAAGCTTTGTAAGTTGGTAGCTTTCTTAAAACAAAACAACCCTCCCCCCATTTATTATTATTCAAATATCCTGAAAAGATTCACTACTGAGTCTGTAAGCAACTCCGAGTCTAGCAGTGCTTGTTGTATTTACCTGAGATATGGAACCTTCTATGATCGGCCTGGTCGTCTGCACCATTTCAGGAGTCTTGCGACTCTCCTGGCTTAACAGGTCCTGTCTTGGGATTTCATGGATGGAACGACCCATTTCTTTTATAGTAGTGACTCCATCATATGGTTTCCCCTTAGTAATGGCTCCTTCGAATGTCCTTATGGGAGGTGACTCTCTCTTAATCTGTTTAGGGTATTTCAAGCCTTCTTCAAAACTTTCAGCTGTTGCTCTCGGTGTGCCTTTTATAGAAAAAAAGAGTCACATTACTGGTACTAATAACTACCAAACCTCTTTTTTCATAAACAGAGTAACTAACTACATGTCATAATACCTGAACTTCAGTTTGCTATAGTCTATGATAATAGATTCTGAAGACTAAAAAATCACCACAAAAACAATACTGAACAAATATTCAATGTTTTACTGAAAGCATCCTAAATTATTTCAGATGCTGAGATAAAGGCAGTAGCATACATCTTCAGAGGTCTAGGGAGTTGTTAGTACTCTTAAAAAAAAAGTACTAATTAACAAGTATTCATATTAAAAAATGTCTATTTTCCAAAAAGAAAAAAAAAAGCTATGTTTACATACTAGCTCTGTATACAGCATATCAGAAAAGTGCTGATTTGTGCTCTGAAAATATGTTTAATAAAATAAGCTCCACCTTTAACACAGCTAGCATTGTTAATAACAGTTCTAAGGTTCAGAAATTCAGATTTTTGTGGATGTAATTAATGCTTGCCTTCTAAATTTGCAATACTTTACCTTGCATTATAGAGCCAGACAACACTGTTCTCTCTTTTAGTTCAGCATGTGGGCTACCCCTAGGCAGTGCACGGCATATTAAACCTAAAATGAAAATGAACATAATTTAGAGAATTAAACGAGTGTTCAAAAAACTTCCCAAATCAACAAAATACCTCCTCCTTCTTATATACATTACAGATATTATCTGTATCACAGTAGTGCCCAGAGGGCCTGGCCTCAATAGGCTGGGCATTGCATCAACATGTTATAAACACTATTCTGCCCTAAAAAAGAAAATAATCTTTTCAGTTCAAGTATTCATATTATTATATTGTTGCAAGTTTTAACATATTTAGAAAACACAAGGTATTTTTTATAATTAAGCTTCACTCTTGTCCCAGAAAGCAGTCACTGTTTCTCTTCCACTCCGCTTCAGTTTCCTTACCTAGTAAAGAAAGATGTTCATGATGGAAAGTGGAATAAAAAGAAAAAAACAGCCCATAATATACCTCAGCATCCTCCAAATTAACCAAACTTCATACTGAATTATCTGGTAAGAGTTGAATTTACTGTTCCTACAGTAGGAATCTAAATCAATCCCCCAAACAACTCATAATTTTCCAGTTTGAGGACAGAAAACGCATCAGTGACGAGATAAGAGCATAAAAGCATCAGAACAGCTTCTCATATGCTAAAAGAGCCCGAAGATGAGGCAAGTGCATCAGCAACTTAAAGGCAACATTGAATTTCTATATAGTCTATAAACCTCTTATTCGTATTTCCCCATCTGATGAAAACGTACACAAAATAGCCTTTACGGGCTACCAAAAGACAGGACAAAAATGCACTTAAGGAGTCAGACTCCAGAGTTCAGGTATGAAACACTTTCTTGCATTTGTATTTTTAAAAAACAATCAGAAAAGTTACATAATGGCCTGACTTGACCTTTGCAGTCTTAGTTTGTTTACAGTTCACTAAATCAACATAATACTAGGGATGCCCTGGAGCAGGATACAGCAGCTGTGCGACTCGGTAATCTAAGCGGTTTACTG